CAACAAGTGAAAATTTTTACAAAATGTCCAAATAAGCGGTTTCTGAAGAAATTTTTTTAATTTTTCTTTTCCTTTAACTTTTTGATTTTAAGAAAGATGTCAGGCAAATCGCTTACAACCTTTAACGAGTTGAATTGTTTAGAATATGGAACACTTAAGGTTATTTTTTGTTAAATTATTTTTAATTTTTTTAAAGATACCTTATGAATTATTAAACAAAAAATTTCGATGTACTCAACGAGTTATTGACCAATGCATATTCCATTTCCAAAAAGAATTTGAACTTTTAGAGCAAAAATTGAAAGGGCGAACACAACCAATTTGTTTGAATGAGGTTAAACATTTTAGAAAAGAAAATATTAGATACTCGATAGGGAAGGTGTTGGGTCTGAGTTAAGGCCCATATATTTTTAAGCTTATTGGGGTTTTTCTGGACATGGATTTTCTTTGGATTATATGCCCATACAGGTACGTACCCAGAAATAATTCCTGTGGGAAGGAAGGCTCATTTTTAAAAATGTCAGCGCCGATTTTTTGGCAACTAAAGCGCTTCATCTGGCCATAAACCTAGGCTCATTGATGTCCGGACCAGAACTTTTTATGAATCCCTATCTAGGCTTTTGTAGACTTTCTTAAATAAAAGACCAGTAATTTAAAAATAATCTTTCAAAGGTATCCAACAATATTAGCAAATTAAACAAGCTTATTACACAATTCAAAGACGACGTTAGTCAAAAATTGACTGAAGAAAATGAATCTGGGGAAGTTTTGAATAAACAAGTGGAAATGCTTACACAGGTTTTTTTTGTTTATTTTAATTTAAAAATAAAATTAAAGGCCGGCAGCAGTGACTCAACTGTCAGAAAATCTTTCTACGACCAACGACTTAACCGTTTTATTGTTGAACATCTTGTAGGAAATGGTCCTATAATTTCGGGACTCCTAATTAATTAATACAACGTTTAATAATTTATTTATTTCGCAATGAAAACTACAATTAATTTAACAAGGGAAAAAGCATAATATTTTTATAATAAAAGGGACAGATTGTGATCCAAAGAGAGCTTAATGACCGCTGAGATAGATAAAACGGGGGAAAAGCCAGCTATTTTTATAGCGGTTGATTTACAGGAAAGTATTTTGTAATAAGTTTGTGTGAGAAAGTGAATAAAGAATTTCAGTGATTAACAGATTTCGTAATTTCATAAGTTTAATTAAATGAGTAATTCGCAGGATGCGACACTCCCGCGGCAAACATTGAGTGAATGGGTTGGATATTGAATAATGGGAGATAACAAAATATTGGCTGGATGTTGAATAAACGGAGAAGATTAGGAATGGGCCAATTTGGGTTTACATTGTTATAAGTAGTTATAATGCTTGGCAAAATAGGGGGGACCGTAAATTTAATTGAGTTTAATCGTGGAATGTGTGAAATATTTCTTTTCTTAAATTTCTTATTCTTCTGTAATTTTGACAATTGATTTTTTGTTATGGAGGAGGCTGGAAGGCGTTCAACACAGCCAGAAGGGAGAACTCGAACACGACTGATTGGGAATTTGATTGGAGAGCTGGGGGGAGGCGGTGGAGGATCCAAAATCATTTTCAGTTTCGAAGGAGCATGCGGTTGTGGCTTTGTAGTCGGAATATTTTGTGTTTGATGTTTGTCGGTAGCAGCAGGCGGGGAAGTTAATAGATCATGGGAGTCCAATTTTGTTGTGGGGGGAGTCGGACTTGAAGATTTGTCTGATGGAACATCACCTGGGGGGCCTGAAGATTTATTTAGTCCTTTCCTGCTGCGGACATTATCTGTGGGAACTGAAATTTTTATTTCTAACCTATTATTTTCACTGGTCTTCAGTGGACCGTGTTTTTGATTTATTATATTTGCGGGAGTGGGAGTCGTGGGATCGGGGATTGGTAAGTGATTTTGATTGCTGTATAGTTGTGTGAAAGATTTAATTGAGTGATTGATTAATTGTGGCTCTTCGAGCAGTAAGGATTTATTTTCGCCTTTTTTATTTAAGTGGCCTGATTTGGTTTCGGTTTTTGAGGAATTATTAAAGGACTTGGCGGTATAAAATTTATCCGGCAATTTTATTAACGATAAAGGGATTGGAGCTATAGGTGGGGGTGTAATTGGCATTATTTGTGAGTGATTAATTGTATGTTGCTTGGGAATTTCTTGTGGGGATATAATGGTTTCTTCATTATAATCTTCATCTATACAGGGTTCATTAATTTGTGGATTAAATAATTTCGAGCAAAGTGCTCTGGGATGTAAGTTATTACAATGGGAACAAGTAATTGGTCTTTGACAACTCCTCGAAATATGGTTGGGCTTATAACAATTAAAACATAAATTTTTCTCATATAAGCGGGATTTTCGAGAATGGATTGAATTATAGTTAGAGCAATGGTGGGATAAATGGTCGGGTTGGTTACAGAAAATACAGGGGAATCTAAACCTCCCTGTTTTATTGTTTTGTTGAGATGTATGAAATGTTAGGGAGGATTGTGGTGTGTTAGGTGGGCTAGTCTGTCTAACGGGTCGGGGTGATTTTGGAGTACAAGGGTGACTTATCTGCTCGTTTAGCTCATTCTTTTGGTCGTCTAGAGCTTTTATTCCTTCCTTTCTTTTCAGTATTTGTTTTAATGTTGTCCGTAATTGATCGGTCTGCCAGTTTGCTCCATTTTCTTCCTTAGCTTTAAATATTTCTTCAAGAATAGGAGGTGGGAGTTTCGATTCTAATTCCATTTGGATGGAAAGCGTGTTGATATCAAATTCCTGTTCAATCATTTGTAAATATAATAATTCAAATTTGTCTACGAATGATCGTAGTTCCATACAAAGATTTTCGGGACCATTATTTGAATGTACTGTAGGCAATTTTCTTATTGAATGGAGAAGGGTCCTATTTATTTCATCGGAATTTCCATAATTTTCTCTTAGAAGTCGGATTGCCTCATGATAAGAAGCATTGGTTAAAGGAAGGGATTTTATCAGTAAATATGCGGGTCCATCTAAACATTCCTTGAGATAATTAAATTTAACGGCATCGGAAAGATCTGGAATGTCGTGGACACCAACTTTAAATGAGTTCCAAAAGGAAGTAAATTCAACACATTTTCCATTAAATTTGGGGAGTGAGAGCTTCGGGAGATGAAAATGTGTATTTGTGATTTGGGAGGGGTCGGGAAGAGCTTCTGTTAATTTAGCCTTTTCGGAAAGGAGTTTACGGGAATATCTTTTTAAATCTCTGAGTTTATTAAGGAATGGGGTTTCTGTAGTAAATGCTTCGTATATTGGGGTGTCGGCTTGGCGCTCTGCGCCTGTCATACTGGTACGAATGCTCATCCATTTTTCATGGGCTGAGGTTATATCTGTAATTGTTTCGGATACATGTCCTAATTCTAATTCGAGGGATGTAATGAGGGAGCGAATGTTTGCACGGTGGAGGGAAATGCTCCCTATTTGTTCGGGGAGATTAAATTCTTTTTTATTATTTAAAATTTCGGTAGCGTCCTCGGCGAGGAGCCGCAATGCATTGCGGAAAGGTGCTGACCTTTTTCGGGTTTTCGAACCGGCTGAGCTGTAGGAAATGGTCCTATAATTTCGGGACTCCTAATTAATTAATACAACGTTTAATAATTTATTTATTTCGCAATGAAAACTACAATTAATTTAACAAGGGAAAAAGCATAATATTTTTATAATAAAAGGGACAGATTGTGATCCAAAGAGAGCTTAATGACCGCTGAGATAGATAAAACGGGGGAAAAGCCAGCTATTTTTATAGCGGTTGATTTACAGGAAAGTATTTTGTAATAAGTTTGTGTGAGAAAGTGAATAAAGAATTTCAGTGATTAACAGATTTCGTAATTTCATAAGTTTAATTAAATGAGTAATTCGCAGGATGCGAACCGGCTGAGCAGGATGCGAACCGGCTTTACGGACCGGGTATTTTGAAACTGCTCAACTGCTAGCAGATTATGTTGGATTGGACATTCAGGCGCAAAAGAGTGTTTATCTTGTGGCTAGACAGGTTTAAATTGGATTTTTTGAAAGTATTGTTGAAAATATTTTTCGAAAATATTGTTGAGTATTTTGACTTAAATGGACTTTTTTGGCTTATGTTAGTTAGTATATTGGTCGTAAGGTTTTCGATAAGTCAATACCATTCGATTTTTCTTGATCGATTTGGTTGAGGGAGGTCTGTAGCTCATAAGTTTGTAACCTGGCCCTGCATGTCTGATCGACTTCGTCTCACTTTGTTCGACTCAGTTTCTTGAACTCTTTCGAATTCACTTTATTCGATCATATCTGTCCAGAAATATAAAAACATGGCCTTTAAGAACCTATAAGTCACAATACCTATTTTTTAGGTAGAAGAATCTCTTCGCAATAAAGATTTGACTCTTTGTCTAAACTGGGTTCGTGACAACAGATCCAGACTTCACCGAATCGGTAGCAGATTGGAAACAGAAGTTAGAATTCAACATTGTGTGGAACTTGTGAAAAGTGGAAGAACGGCTGACTCGCTTAAATATGTCCAATCATTTTTTGGGTTTATTTTTTAAATAAAAATTTTTTTAAAGTTTTTTTTCAATTTAGAAATAAATCTGATCTTCATGGAGTACATTGGATGGCTAATACAAATCTTTTACATGTAAGTGAATTAGTAGAAATTGAAGTTCTAAAAGTGACTAGGCATTGTTTTTGGGGTGTATGTTTTTTTGGACCAGAACATCCTTTTTGACTTTAAGTCTGGACTCTGGCTCACCTCGATCGAGTCCTTGGCTTGGATCCGGGAAAATCCCAGGAAATTAAAAAAAAGTCTGGCTGGGTGTACTTAAGCTTTAGGCCTTGACTTGGGGCTTGGTTTATTTACCTGGGACTAATCCTGCGTTTGAGTCCAAGTAAAATCAGGAATCTCAAAAAACGTCTTCCTGGGCTTATAAGCGTCAAGAAAATTTATTTAAAAAAAATTTTTTAGTTGATGGGTCTGATTGCTCTAGGCAAAGATTCGAGTCGTTCAGAACACCAACCACTTTTAAGCGATGAACGCTATTCTACATTAATTCAACTTTTTCGCCTTGAAAATGACCGAATTTATAAATTTTGTACTCAATCACCTTTTAGTGCTTGTCTTCAAGGTTTTTTTTTAATTTTTAGAAATTTTCTAAAATATTTTTTTAAAAAAGCTGGAATTGCTGTTCACAAAACGCCTCAATGCAAAAAAGACTCAAATTCTCGATGTATTGTTTGCAGCAGTGTTTTTGAACTTTCTGAAGGTCTTCCCTACACGCATTTGTCTAATTCAAGGCTTTTTTGTGCTATTAGTGGAGAACTTTTTGATGTATAAAATTTTAATTTTTTTTTAAACTTTTAATTGGGGACTAGCCGGATCCTTTCATAGAAACTTTTGTAAAAATCCGCAAATGTTGTCCGCAAAAATTTTTTGGAAATTACCGTTCGTTTAAGCAAAAAATATTTTTCCTATTTTTGTGCCTATTTATTAACAAGAACTCTGGGGGTTTTTTTTGGCTTATTTATAAATTTTCTCTCAACCACTTTTAAGCGATGAACGCTATTCCCCGACCCTTTGGGGTTAACTTCTTCAAAGAAACAAAGGGTCAGGGACCAACCATATTAAAAATTAAAACGATAGGCCGGATCCTGGTGGAAAACGATAGGCGGGATCCTAGGCCGGATTCTTGTTCGGAAGTTTAGATAAAACCCAGGAATCACAAAAAAATTTTTTCCTTAATATGAATTAATTAAAAAAAATTTTTTTTTAATTTTCAGTGTGAAGATAATCGACCAATGATGCTTCCTAACGGTTTTTTAAAAAAGATAATTTTTAATTTAACAAATTATTTAAAAGGACACGTTTATGGAGAAAAATCAATGCGTAAATTGGCAAAAAATAATGAATTTGTTTGTCCAAGAACTTTAACAGTTTATTCTTTAGATGATATTCAAAGGGTTTTTCTTTTTTAACTTTTGTCGGATATGAAAATTCTTTTTTGCTTTAAAATAATTCTACAATTTTTTTGTAGTGTTTAATATATTTTTTAATGAGAAAACCAATTTTAAGTTTTAATTAGAAAAAATTTTTTTCTAAATTTTAAATTGTTCAACACAAAAAAATATTTTTTTCTATTTTTTAAATCCATTTTAGAAGAAAATTTCTTTATATGAAAAGGCTAAATAATATTTTCCTCAACTTTTTTAATAAAATGTCAACAAAAAATTCGCCCAAATCTGCTTTTGAAAAATTGGGATTAAATAAAAATCCAAAAGAAGTAACAGAAGAGGAATGGAAAAAAGTATTGACTCCGGAACAATTTGAAATTACGAGGAAAGCTGGGACGTGAGAAAAATTTTAAATTTTTTTGAAAAATTTTTTTGAATTTTAAGGGAACTCGCATTCACTGGAAAATATGATAAACATTTTATTTCTGGTGGAAAGTATGTTTGTATTTGTTGTGGCGCTGATTTGTTTGTGTCAGAGAATAAATTTAATTCGGGTTGTGGGTATGAGGTTTTTTTTAGAAAATTTAATTTTAATTAAGGAGAATTTTTTTGGGAGGCTTAATACTTTTATGAAAAGTTTTTGAATGAAGTTTTGAAAAATTTTGAATTTTTTCGATTAAAAATTCCCTCCTTGTAAAATTAAAATTCCTCAATAAATTTTATTTAAAAAAATATTTTTTAGTTGGCCAGCATTTTCAAAATCAATAGAAGCTGATAAAAATATTACTCGATTGCCTGATCATTCTTTTGGACGAATTAGGACAGAAGTTCGATGGTAAGAAGCTTTTTTTTAATTTTTGCTTTTAAAAAAATCATAGTCCGCAAGAAATGTCCGCAAAAATTATTTTCCAAATTTTTCTAAATTTGTTTTTTTCAGTTCCGTCTGCAATGCACATTTGGGACACGTTTTTGGTTTATTTTGAATAATAAAATTAAAAAAAAATTTTTTTTATTAGATGATGGACCTCAAAAAGATGGCGGTGAACGTTATTGCATTAATAGTGAATCTATTGACTTTGTTGGATCTGATGATAAAAAGGAAGGGGAAAATTGAAAACAAAAGTTGAAAATGAAAGGTTTTTTATTTAAAATATTTTTTATTTAAATTCTGCCATTTTTGTGATACTTGTAGTGATAGGGGTTCAATTCTTGCGGACTTGCGCTTTTGCGGACATTTTTCTTGCGCATCTTTTTTCCCTCGTTTCTCTTGCACAATTGTTGTCTTATAAAAATTTTGGCCAATTTTCTTGTCAATTTTTTTAGTTGTTTTCGACAAATTAATTAAATCCCTAATGAAAAGATACGCGCTAGAAAAAAAAAAGTCCGCAAGAAATTCACCAGTGCTCACATATGTTTCCATTTTTCCAAAAATTGTTTACTCTATATAAAGTGAATAATAAATAAATTAATAATGCTTGGGAAAAGGTCAAAATATGTATATATTTTGGGGTGATGGAAAAGGTGATTTCCTTCTCAAGTCACCTCCGCCCACCTTTCAAAACTTCTTCCCCCCTTTAAATATATTTCCTCCAAACATTAATATAAAATCATTCTTATATTTTTCAATATTCTAAATAAAAATATGAAATTTTTCATATTTTTTATATTAACCATTCTTTCAGGTAAAAAAATTTTTTTTATAGGAAGAAAATTTTTTTCAAACTTTTCAGTTTATAGTTTTAGACTTCCAATACCTTTTGGTGAAATTAATTTTACCAAAACTCCAGATGGTGAAACTCAATTTGGAATTGGGTCAAATGTGAATATTGGTGGGAGTGGGGCTGAATCGAATCTTCAATTTAGCAAAAAGAAAAATGGAACTGCTCAAGTACAAAGTAAGGGGAAAAAATATATTTTGAGTCAAGACTTAAAAGGGACGGTTTTATGTACCGAAAAAATTTTTTCGAGTCGAGACTCAAAGTGTTAATTTTTAAAATCTACCACTGCTAAAAGACTAAAGGTCGGTAAAATCGCAATCCAGGGCAGACCTGGGCGAAACTCGAAAATTTTTTCAGACGAAACGAAACGAAACAAAATTTTTTAAAAATCGTTTCGTTAACGAAACGAGACGAAACAGTAAAAATTTAGCGAAACGAAACGAAACAAAACGAAACATTTTAATTTTCAAAAAATTTAATAAAAATGGTTTTATTTTCTTAATTATTCGATTTTAGACACGTTATTAGGCCAGTTATGGCCTATAATTGATCTAATAGCTTAGTGGGACCTTAAATTGTGGTCCCAGGCTCGAATTATGTGTTGAGTATATGTGTATATGTATATCAGGGACCTGCCGACCCGTTTCCTGATTCCCTAAAATAGGGAATTAACTTTGTCGGAAATTACTATCGCCTAAACCCGTTCCTGATTCCCGGCATTTTTTTAAATTTTTTAAACCCTCCAAATCCACCGATATCCGTTTACTCTCTCCAAATTTCCTATACCACCATTGCTCCCGCCAAATCCAATGATATTTCTCAACTCAGATTTTTTTACTGATAACAACGTTCATGATTAGGGTTGCCAAAATGGTCCGACTCGGACCAAAATATCGAGTCGAGCCTAAGATATTTGGCCCGAAAAGTCTCGTACTGGCCCGACTCGATAGAAACAGGCCCGAAAAAAGGCAACCATATTCATGATCATTGCCATCAGTTGCGTTTTCGTTTATTGAAACTAAACTTTATTGAAACTCTTGCGCCTGCCCTGATTGGCATTAAGAGGTACATCGATTCTATATGCCTAATCTAGCATAGAATTCGAGCTTTGCATATTAAAAAAATAAAATCAAACGAGAAATTCAAAAAAAATATAGTAAATTATGCGCCGTAGGCGCTTAAAATCCAGATTTCAGCGCCGCAGGCAAAAATTTTTTGAATTTTGATCACCAAAGGGGAAAATTTTACAGTTTTTGGGTAATATTTTGGTCTAAAAAATGGGTAATGTTTCGTTAACGAAACAGAGGTGTTTCGTTAACGAAACGAAACGAAACAAACTAAAAAGTGTTTCGTCACGAAACGAGACGAAACAGGAAAAAACATAACGAAACTAACGAAACAACGAAACGAAACGAAACGTTTCGCCCACGTCTGATCCAGGGATCCCGAAACGGGATTGAGTTTAAAAATTTTGAATGGGACGGGATCCCGCGGGATTAATCCCGTAAATCCCGGTAATCCCGTTTTTCGCAGAAAACCCGGGATTCCGGGACGGGATCCCGTAAAATCGCGTGCGGGGTCCCGTGCCGAGCTCTATAAAAGACAAAGTTTTGACGCTTTCAGTCTCGAAATCTTTAATTTTATTTTCAACGTTCAGACTCAAGTGGGTCTATTTTTAAATTTCAAGCTATTAAAAAATAAAAGTTGACACTTTAAGTCTCAACATTTTCAATAATTTTTCACAAATTTTTAGCTGGTGGAGGTGTTTTAGTCGACGGGAAAAAGTTTGGAACAAATTCAACATTTGGTGGAGGGAAAGAAGGATTGACTGCAGATACAGATATTCAAGCAGGGAAGCATACATTGCATGGAGGTGTTGGGAAAGAAAATGAATTTATTGGGGATTTGACAAATGCAATAAATGACGAAAAGAATAATACTAAAAAACCAAAAATTTGAATAAATTGAAGTTTTAATTAATTATTTTTGAAATGAGAAGAGTTTAAGGATTTGTTTGAGAATTAGTAGAAGGTGTTTGTTTTGTGTTGAATAGATAGCCTTTTAGATTTCTCACGAGAGAAGAGGGGGATGTGGAGAGTGTGGACATTGATATTTCTCAAGTTGCTATCTTTTAGTTGAAGCACTGAAGCTTCGATCGGTTCAAATACAAAATCAGAGCTCTCGATAGGTCTAGGAACAGTGCTTCGAAGCTCGTACCAAAATTCGTACTCGTACCTCGTACTCGTACTCGTACCTGGTACGAAGTACGAGTACGAGTACGAGCAAAAAAATTGGGCAGGTACGAAGTACGAGTACGAGGCCAAAAAAAGTGAAAAGTACGAGGTACGAGGCCTAAGTACGAGCTCGTACTTCTCGTACTTGGTGTTACTAGGAAAATTAAAGAAATATATTTAATTCCTTTCATTCACCATTATGTGAGCGAGTGGTCGAGTGGTGAATGTGCGTGGCTGCACCAAAGTCTTTAATGATTTAATTTTGGGTTCGATTCCTATTCACTGGACAATTCATTTTAATATTTTTCATTTCATAAATAACCATTTTATAAGTTTAATTTTGTTTTAAAACAAAACTTTTTTGGCCCTCTAATTTTTTTTGGCCCTCTAAAATTATTTAAAATTTTCATTGTACCTCTAAAAAGTAAGTTTTTTTCGCCTTCGGCCTTCAGGAATTTTCAAAATTTTCGCCTGCGGCGCTGAAAAAATAAGAAAGTTGGATTAATGGCTTCCAAATTCTAAAATTTTCGCCTCCGGCGGTGAAAAATGGAAGAAATCTGGCTTCATGGCCTTCAAAATTTTTCAAAATTTTCGCCTGCGGCGCATAAAATAGAAGAAATTAACTTAAGGACATCCAAAATTCTCAAAATTTTTGAAAAAAGGGATTTGAGATTAAGAGAGATATCAGGAGATTAAAATTTGAAAAGTTCAATGGAAAAGATAAAAAGTTCCATGTAAGAAGATCGAAAATGTATAAAAAAAATGCCGAGTTTCGGGTAGCCCGACCCATCATGGAGGAAATATTTCTCCTTGCACTCCAAAAAACTCAAAAATTTCGCCTGCGGCGCAGAAAATGGATGAAATTGGAGGATTTATAGCTTCAAAGCCTTCCAAGATTCTTTAATTATCACATACAACGCTTAAAATTTAAAAACAGATGCATGGGCTTCAAAAAATCATAAAAATTTTCGATTTTTTGCTTTTTTCTTAAGTACGAGTAAGTACGAGGTACGAGTACGAGGTACGAGGCCAAAAATAGGGATGGTACGAGGTACGAGTACGAGTACGAGCAAAAAAATAAGGGTGGTACGAGGTACGAGTACGAGGCCAAAAAAAGAGGTGGTACGAAGTACGAGTACGAGTACGAGCAAATTTGAAATTTCGAAGCACTGTCTAGGAAAGGATTACTCGAAGAAATATGTCAACTGAAATGGGGACTAGAGGCGGCGCGGGACGGGAGACCGCGCGGAATTTTGCGGGATCCCGTCCCGCAATTCAGCACTTTTTTCGATTTGTCGGGTTTTGGTGATTATTCCCGCGGGATTACGTTCCACAAAGATTTAAAAAACTGATTTCGTCGAACTTTAATGGCGACTCAAGTGGCCAGACTAAAATGACCTTTTACCTGCCCGGACGTTTCAAAGTCTGGACAGTTTGTGGCTAAAAAATTCTCAAAAAATTTTGTTCAAAAATATTAATTTTGCAGGGATTTAATTACCGGACGTTGTTGTCTCTTTCTTTTTTGCCTTTCAAAAAAAATTTTTTTTCTTTCCAGAAAATCAATTTTGTGAGGGACAGACGCCTCCCCAAAAATCACTTTGTTTCCCCTCAATTTAGGGCTGAAACAAATGACACACTTAAGGGATTATTTCTATATACTTTTACTTTTTGCTTAAATTACTTGGATATATTTATTTTTATATTGATCTAAATCTTCCCCTCCTTTTTCTCCTAAAATCTATTTTTCTCTTCTCGAAGCCAAAAAAAAACTTTTTTCCCCTTTTTAACTCTTCCGGCCAAAACCTCTCTTTTTGTTGAGCACATATAATTGGGCAGCAACAAGTAGCAATTTTTTCTTTCTCTTTTTTTTGTTTTGTCTAATAAACTAATTTTTCTTCCTTCGCGATTAATTAAATTAAAAAATTTTTTTAAATTTTTTGAAAAATTTTGAAAATTTTTTAGGCAAAAATTCAAAATTTTTTAGAATCTCCTCCAAATTCCCTCCCATTTTGGAGAGAATAGGAATATTTATTTTTTATGAAAATTTGATGGCAATATTTTAAACAACGACAACAAAATTGAAAGAAAAAAAGAAATACTTGTTGGTTGGTGGACAATTTGGAAGAGGAGAATTTTAGACGACAATTTTTTTGAAAAAAAGTAGATGCCCCTCACTCAACAGCAAAATGAAGCAAGTCCGGAGAGGGGAATGCCCTTTGCAAATGAGGTTAGTTAAACTTTTTTCTTGAAAGATAAGAGAGAGTAACCCGTTGCGGGTCTTTTTAAATGATTTTTTGGATCGGAACATTTCGATTAGAGGGAGTGTATTTAAGCGCTTTGGAAGGGTGTGGGTTCGAGTCCGCTTGGTGAAATTATTTTTAAATTTTCTCTAAAAAACAAAAGTAACTAGGGGATACTCTAGTTAACTAGGGGATATTCTAGTTGATTCCTAGGTAAAATTATATTTATCTCGCAACTCGTTTGTTTTTTAAGTACGCCCTTTATTTTTCTTGCTCTTTTAGCGTTTCTGTTCGTTATAAATATTTTTGGGTCAAAAAAATTTTAAAATTTTTTAGATCGCGCTACAACATGGAATTCATTTTGAAGCAAAGGTTTTTTTAATTCTAAAAATAAAAAAAATTTTCTTTTAGTACATTGGCAGTATGGAAATGGGAAGTTCTCGACCTGGAGCTCGTTTTGAAATTCTTGCAGCAATGCGCAGAGTTCGTTACGAATTTAAAGCGAGGAACATCAAAAAGCGGCTTGTCGATATTGTGTTAGTTTAATTAATTTTTATTTAAATTTTGGGTTTCATTTTTAAAAGAATTTTTTTCTGTAAATTTCGGGCGGTCCATCGATTTATTTTTGGAAGGTTTTTGAGCCTATAAATTTTGAAAAAAAAATTTTGAAATTTTTGGGTTAATTATTTACTTGTACCAAGGTCAATGATGAATTTTAATAGGATTTTTGAAAATATTGTGAAGGCGTTTTCATGTTTTTTTCTCCTGCTAATGCATCCTTAAGATATTTAAGCAAATACAATATTTTTTGAAATTTTTAGGGAATTTTTTTTAGAAAATTTTTTGTCCGCAAGTTTATTGTGGATATAATTTGCGTTTTTTAGAAGCGTAAAAGTATTAATTTTTTAAAATTAATTAATTTTAAACCATTGATTTTAAACCATAATAAACCCATTAATTTTAAAAATTAATGTACGCCTTTTTCTAACATTTATTTTTTCTTACAGTGTTTCTGTTGATGGAGTGAAAGTTGTGCTGCAAAGAAAAAGGAAAAAACAAAAATATATGGATGAAAGTAAAATGTAAATTTTATGAAATTTTTGAGATTAAAAAAAATTTTTTTTTATTTTTTTAAAGGTTGGTAATGTCCCATCCAATGTACAGGTTTTTATTTAAATTTTATTTTTTTTAATTTTAAAAATAATTTAAAGGGTTTTCTATGTTGCCCACGACTCTTACGATCTCCAAATATTTTGTTATGTGGCGAGAGATGGCGCTTCAAATTCGTTCAAATGTAACGTCTTTAAATGTCCAGATAAAGTTAGTTTCGAATTTTTTAAATTTTTGGGGAATAATTTAAAAGCGAGTTTTCTGGGGTTTTGACAATTTTTAAATTTTGTGCTCCCAGAAGTCTCCGAGATTTTCTTTCTTTGCAAGTTTTTATCCGCATTTTTTGACTCCAAAAATAATACTCTTCCATTTTCTCTTCATTTTTTCTCTTTTTTGGCAAAATTTTTTAAATTTTTGATTTTTTAAAATTTTTTTTGACTTGCGGACTTTGTCGGAAAACTTGCAGATTTTAGAAACTTAAGAGTAAAAAAAAATTTTTTTTTCAAATTTGTCCTTAAACCACGGGGTTTTTACAAATTAATGACGCACCTTTTTAATTAAATGACCCAATTAAATTTTCAAATTTATTATTTTTCTTTTTTTAATTTGCGTCATTTATGTCTCTAGACAAATTAAACTTTAAAAAAAGTCCACAAAATTTACGTTTTATTTTTCATTAATGTTGTCGTCATTCTTTTTTCTTTTCTTGTCTGACGTTAGTGAAATAAGAAAAAGTTCACGTTTTCAAATTTAAAAGAACGAAAAATAAAAAAGAAAAGTGATATCCCCCCATTTTTTCTCAGACACAAAAGTCTATTCCAGATCATCCTCAAAAAAGGTTGTGTAAAACCCCTTTTGTTAGCTAGTGACGTAAGAATGAAAAAAGACAATTGGATCAATTTAAAAAGGCGTTAAGAAAATATTAGAGACTATTGCCAGACAATGTTTTGGTGTTAGACAATGTTTTGGAATATTAAAGTTTTGAGAAACACACAATGTTTGTAATAGATAATGTTTAGTTAATAGACAAGTAGACAATGTTTTGTTGTTTGAGAAAGAAGATGTTTTGTTTGGGTTTAGAGAAAGAAAATGTTTTGTTTGGTGTTGGAGAAAGGAAAATGTTTTGTTTCGTGTTTAAGAAAGAATGTTTTGTTTGGCGTTAGAGAGAGAATGTTTTTAATGTTTTGTTTAATGTTGAAGACAAAATGTTTTGTTCGTATGTCTTAAAAATACACAATGTTTCGATGCTAAACAATGTTTTTAACCATGTTTTTGTTTTAATGTTTTGTTTTGGTGTTTAGATGCAAACAATGAGTGAGAGATAATGTTTTTGTTATAGAGACAAATTTGTTTTTCTGGATTTTATCGTGTTAGACAATGTTTTAATAATAGATAACGTTGTGTTTTTTGTAGACACTCGGCTATAGAGTCCATTTAATGGCTGACGTCGTTGTTAATAATGCCCATGTCGATCTACGTCGGTTGTCTGCTTATTGAAGTTTGGGTGTGTTGATCGGCAATATCTCTTCTTTCTCTCTATTTTACCCCTTTTGTTTAATGAGCATTTGGAAGCAAATGTTCTTTTTTCAAATCTTTTTTAGATCTTCCTATATTTATTTCCAACCGTTTTAAAAGTAGAAGAAAAAAAAAGATTTGGACTTTTCTTTTATCTCTTTTTTAGCACAGCTGCAACAGAAAAAGAAAAGTCTTGCTTGAATCGATTCCCTCCCTTTTATATATTATTTTTATATCATCTACCTATATTTTTCTTCTGCCAACCTTTTTCTTTTGATTTTCTCTTTTTCTTCTCCTTTGTGCCGATCATTAAAAAAATTAAAACTGGCGACATCATGTCCAAACCTCCCAGCCGGGACCGGGAAATGTACTTACCCGGTAGCACGGCATCTTTACCAAAGAAGAAAACGGGTCAAAGTTCTTCATCTTCTACCCTTCCTTTGCCTCCTGGAGCTATTTCTCCAGAGCAACAATTTTATTATCTTCGTCTTATGGCCAAACCTGGGCAAAGACCTCCAGAACCTATAAAAATAAAATTTCCGCGTTGGCCAAATGTTGAGGGTAGTGGTCAACAACCTTCATCCTCCAGAATTGTTGAGGAGCATTTAGAGGTAGTTGATTGATTTTTTGGGTGGTTCTTGGGTGTTTCTTTGGGTGTTTTTAATGATTTTAAAATATTTTTCTATTTTCTTATTTTCTTCAGGATCAAGCGATGGCCGTTGTTCGAACAGTGGGACAAGCATTTGAGGTAGTTTTTAAATTTAATTTTTGTATAGTTAAGAGCAGAGGTGAGTCGGAACAGTCCGAGGTGTCGGAAATCGCAAGAGCCAGAAATCGTAACTGGCTCAAAAGTCGGAAATCGGAAGGAAAAAGCGTCGGAAATCGAATTCCGACCCACCTATGGTTAAGAGATCGGCCTGGATCTAGATCTAGACCTTGATTTTCCAGGATCCAGAGTCTTGATTTTTTAGTGTTCCTCGATTTTTCCTTGACTCAAGGTCATTAATCTAATCGAGGTCCTCAACCAAAATCGAGAGAATGTTTTTAAGAATTTCAATGTTTTTAAGATAATCACTGATAATATACTTTTAATAAAAATTTTTTTAGTTGTGCAACCGTCTAAGTCAAGAACAAAACAAAGAAAGGCAACTTTTGGAAGAAGAAAGGGCAATGGATTCAGCTTTTGCTGCTGCTAGTTCAAGCTCTCTAAGAAAAAAGAACAGTATTGGAACTGAAAGTGATGAACAACAACAACCTTTAGAAAGGAGAATGACCACAAAAGAATCTCCATCTCATAATTCTCCTAGAAGTGGACAACAAAAAAGGCAGTCGATTGTAAGCTTTCTTTGATTTCCTTAAAGAAAAATCGGAACGGGCCTGTTGAGACCGGCCGGTTGAGCCCCGCCAGTTGAGACCGGCCGGTTGAGACCGAGGACAGTTGAGCGTGGGCCGGTTGAGACCGGGCCAGTTGAGCGCGGCCGGTTGAGCGCCCCTTGTTAACTGGCTAGTTGAGCGCCAGTATATTTTTACACTGATAAACCTCTGACAAAATGTTTACTCATGTTTGGAACACCTTGACTCATGTTCGGAACATGAGTCAAAATGAAACAACACATTCCCCCGTTCGAGAAACGGGTGAAGTTGGTCCGAATATTGGGGAAGTTGTTCTCGCTTTAGTATAAGTCCACCGAGATCGGAACTCAAACTATATACTAGAGATGTGCGAGACTCTTGGTCTTGGTCTTGGAACCAAGACTTTTCTTGGTTTTTTTTTCGGTCTTGGTCTTGGGGTGTTTGTCTTGGTCTTGTCTTGGTTTTATTTTTTGGTCTTGGTTTTTTGGCCTTTTTGGACCTAGTGCTTGGCCATCCAAAATCCTCAAAATTTTCGCCTGCGGCGCAGAAAATGGAAGAAATCTGGCTTCTTGAGCTCTAAAATTCAAAAAATTTTCGCCTGCGGCGCTGAAAATGTGAATTTTTTGGCCTACGGCCTTCCAAAATTTTCAAAATTTTTGCCTGCGGCGCAGGAAAAGGAAGATTTTTGGCTTCTTTGCTTTCATAATTCCCAAAATTTTCGCCTGCGGCGCTAAATCCCACGGCTATCCCTCTTAATCTTTTGATATCACTAATATCCCGTTAATCCACCCAAACCCTCTGAATAATAACCTATTTTATTGATTTTCCACAGAACAAATTCCCCGAAATTCTTTGAATTTCGCATAAATTTTTCGTAATTATAGATAATTGTGCTGAAGTTGACTGTGATCGTATCAAAATAACAAAAAATAAACCAAAAATTTGACCTATGGGATTTAAAAATTTGGTCTTGATTTTTGGTCTTGAGTCTTGGAGTTTTGGTCTTGGTCTTGTGTCTTGGTCTTGGAAAAAATTTTGTCTTGGGTCTTGAGTCTTGAGTCTTGGAAAAATTTCGGTCTCGCACATCTCTACTATATACCATTCGATTCGTCTCGCCGAGCTGAGTTCAAATTTGTAAGAATTTTCTGCCGGAGACGAAAATTCGCAGAGATATAGGCCCCCAAAAATCGAAAAACCATAGGGGTGAGTAAGCTCGATTTTAAGGTAAAAAATTCGTATGCGCAAATAAAAGCTCATTCGAAAGAGCTCGTCGAGCTGAGTCGAATGACAAAAAACACCGCGATCTGACTTCATAGGGTCGAGATCTGACTTCATAGGGTCGAGCTATGTTGACAATAACAACATCCCCCGTTTTTGGAACAACATCCCCCGTCCTTGGAACAACATCCCCCGTTGTTCCCCCAACATCCCCCGTTGTTCCCCCGTCCCCGTTTCGCGCTCAACTGGCCAGTTAACAAGGGGCGCTCAACTGGCCGCGCTCAACTGGCCCGATCTCAACCGGCCCGCGCTCAACTGTCCTCGGTCTCAACCGCCCGGTCTCAACTGGCGGGGCTCAACCGGCCGCGCTCAACTGACCCCAACCGAAGAAAAATTTTTTCTTCTCACGACAGTTTGTCCCAAAACGAATGACTGTTGAAGAAGAAGACGAGGAGGATGATGGAAATGAAGAGGACGATGAAAGGGAAGGTTCTGAATCGACTACAGGTTTTGAGACTCTAATGGACATTTTTAACCAATTTACAATTTTTAAAGACAATTTGGACATCCCTGGACCTTCAACATCTTCATCAGCCCCGAGGCAGTCAATTATTTATGAAAGAAGTTCGCCTGTTAAAGCTGTTGTAGATTATAGTCAAGTGCCTCCCAATGTTATTCCTGCTAATGTTGCTGCTGTTATTAACAGTGGTGCAGCGAGGCATAGGTTTCTTCAAATTTTATTTTTAATTAAATATGAATTAGAGATTTTCATGCTAAACCGGATTTTAGACTTAGATTGTTTATACTGAGACTTTCCTCTTTTCTTTGTATATCCACGTTTATCAGGGATGGGCCCGGTTTAGAAAAAGTCGTGTCGAGTTTTTCTTTTGGTTTTCTAAGCCCGTCGGGTTTCGGACCGAAAAACGTATTGGCATCGGATAACCCGTCCCACTCCTCGTTCTCATTTTTCCAATTTACTTATCGGACCACCAAAAAAATTTTTAATTGTCGAGCCTTGTTAATTTTGGTATCATCCAGCGGGTTTAATCAAGTGTCGTCGAACCATACAATATTTAATATTGTTCTTATTTGACGCCTCCTTTCTAGTCAACTTTTTCAATTTGCATCTTTCACTGATTAAATTTTACCATTCTTAGCGGAGCCTCTTCATCTCCTTCATTGGCATTCCACGCGACTGCTATCCCTCAACAACAACAGCAACTTTCAAATTCAACTAATCCTCTTCAAACTGCTGCTACATCAACTTATCCTCTTCCTCAACAACTTCCTTCAAATTTGTGGAACATTCCAATGCAGCAATTAAATCCTGCCCTTTTTCAAAATCCAGCCACCAACATTCCTCTTCCTCAACAAACTTTTCAAACCGTCCCATCAACTTCAACACAATTTTTGGGAGGTCAACAACAACAACTTCCTTCTCTTTATTCAGTATTTTTTTTTATTTTTCGAATTTAAACATACTAAAGAGGGGATGTTATTTTTGCGGACTGTGTTTGCGGACTTTTACCCAATTTTCTCTGTTCGTGTTCGATATTTAATTAGCCATTAAGGACCAGTTTAGATTAAAAAAGTATAACATAAGTCAAAAGAAAAAATCCACACAAAAATGTCCGCAAAGAAAAGTCCGCAGAAAGTGTCCGCAAAATATGTCCACAGAAATATGTCTGCAAAAATAGTCCAAAGGAAAAGTCCGCAAAAACAGCATTCTCACTTTACAAACACAAAAAAAAAATTTTTACTTCTTTAAAATTTTTTATTAAAATAGATGATTTCCCCAACAACAGTATCTATTCATTCTCCTCTCCTTCTCAGTCCTTACGCAACTCTACAAATTCCTGCACCAGCAACAGCTTCTCTTCCAAGCACATCATCAGATGTTGCAGCTAATACAAACCTTTTAATTAATGACTTATCTTCACCAACTGAAGCTCAAAGACAATTAATTAGAGCCCAATTAGAACAAGCACAACAACAGGCACAAGTTGCTGCTTGTCAAGTTCAGTTACTTCGAGATCAGTTAAATTCTGAAACAACTGCTAGACTTGAAGCACAATCAAAAACACATCAATTATTAAATTCTAATAGAGAGGTTAATTTTTAAAATAAAAAAATTTTTTTTTGTGTTATGTCCGCAAAAAGTTGCGGACAAAAAATTTCGTCCGCAAAAATTTGCGGACATCATCAGAAAAATTTTTTATTTTATTTTTTAATTAATTTTTAAATTTTTTAACAGTTATTAGAGCAAGTTCAAAATTTGGTTAATCGTCTTCAACTTGTTGAAAATAGAATGACTGAAGGTTTAACGAGTAATCGATTGGCAAATGATGTAAGCTTTAATACAGAGGTTTTTATCAAATTTAATATTTATTTTCGATTTTAAAAAATCAGAAAATATTTTGGGGTTTTTTCGGTTAGGTTCGTCCTAATCCGCCCGGATATTTTTTTATTTAAAGCTTATTTTTTACGGACAAAAAATTCATGTCCGCAAAAAATTTTCGAACATAACCGATATTTATTTTATTCAAGGTTCGACATATCGAAAAAAGTGTTGCTGAACAACAGCAAAGTCCTCAACTTAGGCCTCCACAACTGCTTCAACCTGAATTGAGTGAAATACAATTAAAAGAACAACAACAAAATTTGACAGAATTAAAGCCTATCCAATTAAAAAAACTTTTACCTAGAAGAACAAATTCTGTTCATGGTGAAGAGCCTACAACAACAAGTTTAGCATTTCATGAAGATAATCCACCACAAAAAGAGGGAGGAAGGAGAAAACAACAACAGCAACATCGAACAACTTTTGTTAGTGGAACAACCTTGGATTCAGCGGAAACTGATTCTGATGAAGATGATTCTGCTATTGGTGTGGTAATTTTTTGAAAGAATAATTAGTTTTTGTTTTGTTTCCTTTTTTGTGTTAATCTTCCGACATGCAGTTTTTAACTATTAAAAATTTCTTTTTTTTTTGCGGACGATATTTGCGGACAAAACTTAGAGTCTAAATATTTAACTTTAACAAACGGTTATTGCTGCAACAGGGTATGGATTGAGAAGAAAAGTCGTGTTTCGAGTTTAAATTTTTTTCGGCAGTTTTCGAGTCGAAGAGTTTGGGTTCGGATATTGGGTTTCTATCTGGTATCTCTCCCTCTCTCTCACTTTCTTTTCTTCAAATGTCTTACATAATACAATCTAAAAAAAATTTTAAGATAAACATTCATCATCAAAAGAAGCGGTAGCCCCAACAACAACAACAAACCCTTCAACAACTTCCTCTTCTTCCCTTTTAAAACGTTTAGTTCCTTCAATGCCCGGTTCATCAGTATTAGCATTAGGAATGCCTCTATTAGGAATGCCGTTACAACAAATGGCAAAAAATTATTCTTCACAGCAACATTCTGGAAGTCCTCCATATCAACAACAACAAAAACAACAAAGAAAAAATAGTTATAGTCAACCACCGGGAGGAGGAGGCACAACAACAAATTTAAGGCCTATAACAATACCTAATGATGGTAAAAAGAATTTAAGACGGTTCTCTCTTCAAGCATCAGAATTTGATCCGAGTGAATTATTGCATCATAAACAACATAAAAAAGGGCCTGTTTCAAAAGGAATTTTTGATAAAAAAATGGAATTTAAAAGGTTTTGAATTTTTTGACAAGAAATTTTTTGCTAGGGTAGAAAATTTTTGAAAAATTTTCAAAATTTTTTGAAAGGGTGTAAAAATTTTGGGAAATTTTTTAGTATTTTAAGTACCCCTCAAAATTTAACATTTTAGTACCCCTCAAAAACATTCTTTCTAGTGTAAAAAAAGTGCTGAATTCGAATATCACAATAAAAATGCTCAAAACGGTCGGTAAGGGCATTTTTGAAGACTGAAAAATTAATTTTCCCACGCGAATTCGAACCTGCGACCCCAAATTTTCACGTTGGTTTTTTATTAAAATGATTAACTTATAAATCAGTGATTTTTTACATCAGGAAAACATGCTTTTAAACGATCGAATTCTAGCTATTTTTTTAATTTTCAAGAATTTTTTTTAATATCAAATAAAATTTTTTTATTTTGAATTTTTAAAATAGTAATATTACATTATTGCCTTTTTTACAGAATGTCTTTCAACACAAACCCAAACAAAAAATCTTCTGAAGATAAAAGTTTAATTAGTGTTCCTGACAAGGATTGTGAAAGCATCTGTGCTGACAGTAAAAAAAATTTTTTTTTTAATTAAAAAAATTTTTTCTTTTTAAAGCTACACTTTCTGATTTACTTCCTCCAAGTGAAAGGAGAAATTCTCGTTCTTCACCAGATAAAAAAACTGTTTCGCCTGGATCACAAAGGAGAAGAAGTTCGGCAAGTTTGCATAGTAATACAACTGCTACATTTGGGAAGAAATGATTGAAAGGAAAAATTTTTTCTTTTAAAATGCTCAAAAAATTATTTTTTGTTAAATTTTTGTGGTGATGATACTCTTCTCTTTTTCTCTCTCTCTCAAAAAAATATATATTTTTTTATTGCCTTAATTCTCATAATTTTTTCTTTGGTTTAAAAACACAAAATTAAAACTCACTTTTTTTGCTCAAAAAAAATTTTTTTATTTTTATATTTGTTGATTGTATTTTTGATAAATCATTTTATATATTTTGTGTTTACTTTGTTTTAATCGGTTTAAATTATCCTGTATATTTTTTTTCTATAATTTTTTAACAAATGAGGAGTGAGGTTTTAAGTATTTCTTTGTTAAATTTTGTTGAATTTAAGTACGAAGATTAGAAAATCTGCTTGTATATGTTTCATGGTTGAGTGGGTTACGTGTCAAATTAACAGCGTTAAAGGTTGAAGGTTCGAGTCCAGATGAGGTTGTCTTTTTTTATTTATTTTTAAATTTTTATTGTTTCATTTTTCTTGTGGGGGTAAAGGCTCCAGATTTTCAGATAATTTTTTTATCTAATCTCCTTTTTTGTCTAGAACGTTAAAAACGTTTAAAAAATCCCCTCTTCAGTTTAACTTTATTCCTTTTCAAACTATTTTCGATTTTCATTCCCAAAGGACCGGGTCATCTAAAAAAGACTTCTTTTTTAGCCCTTACCCCTAAACAAAAAGAATGAGAGCTTTTCTCATTTCCCAGCCGATATAGAGTTAAATTTATTTTTAACGTTAAAGAAGAAATAGTGTATAAAAATGAGAGAGAGGTTAGAGAAAAGTTGTGTGTTAGAGTAATGCTTTTACTATAAAAAGAATTGAAAGCAACAACAAAATAAATAAAAGAGGCACATACTCAGTCATTCATGCACTCGTGCCAGAGCTTCTGTGTGTGTGAAAAAGAAAATGTGAGGGGAATCTTCTCATATAAAAGTTAGGGAGGGTGAAAGGGCATTTTTTGTGTGTGTGACTGGAAGTCTTTATTGTCCATAAAATATTTTTTTTCGTTTTTTTGAATAGCTTCCGCTTCTTTTATACACACAAACATCGTGACAGCAGTTCAAAAACATTTTTATTACCAGCCAAGTATTTTATAGCCAATTAATTTTTAATTTAATAGAACCACTTGATTTTTTTTTTCTAATCAAAACAAACTTGAGAAAACAAAAGAAAAAAGGTTTTTTGCTTTTATTCTTAAGCATGTCTCTATTGCAGGGCTCCGATTCCTACTTTTTTAAAAGTATTCTACTTTTAAATCGTCCTCCATACTTACGAAATTGAATTTATACTTTTTTGAAAGTATATACTTTTTTTTGATTGAAAATGAAATTGAGGAAGGGATTGGGCAAAAAAGTGAATTTTCTGGATTAAGTGTCTTCAAAATTTCTCAAAATTTTCGCCTGCGGTGCAGAAAATGGATTTTTTGGCGCCTTCGGCGCCACAAAAAGTGCATTGAGATTGACAAAATGCTCAGTTGAAGCAAGAAATTATTAGAAAAGATTCATTTTGGAGAGAAATATGAAAGATTTGAGGACGAATAAATATTTTCTGATTTAATTTTGAGACTACTTTTTTTTTGCAAATTTTCTCCCTATATACTTTTAAATCGAGATTTTTATACTTTTTATTGGCATTTTGTCGATCGGAGCCCTGCTCTATTGTTATTTTTATTTTAGAATTTATTCAAAAATTTTTTAAAAATTTTTTGAGGACTTTTTAAATTTATTTTTTTTTGTCCGCAAAAAATTTTGGGGACATTTTTGAAATTTTTGTCCGCAAATTTGCGTATTTTTTTGTCCGCAGAAAACTTGCGGACACTTTTGAATTCTATTTTGTCCGCTAAAAATTTGCGGACACTTTTCGAATTTTTTGTCCGCAAAAAAAATTTGCGGATAGACTACTTATTAATCTGCTTATTTTTTTTTACAGATATGCCTTCATTATTTAATTATTTGTTAATAAAAATCAGAAGACAACAACAACAACATTCCTCATTATTTTTAATTTTTATTTATTTAATTATTTTTTGTTCTACCCCATTAAAATCTCAAAATATTACCTTCAACAACAATACTGGTTTAATTGAAAGTGAAGATGATTGTTTATCTCCTATAAAAATTGGTCTTCTTTTGCCTGAACAATACAGACAGAGAATTGACCCTTGGCTGTCACTTTCTTTAAAGCATTTACATCAGATTTTGAAAAAGTATGTTTTTAAAATTTTTGTCCGCAAGTTGTCCGCAAATCTTTTTGCGGATTTTTTCAAAAAAATTTTTTTTAATTTGTCCGCAAAACTTTTGCGGATTTTTCCAAGAAATGTTTTTCAAATAAAAAATGCGTACAAATTTTGTCCGCAAAATTTTGCAGACAAAACTTGCGGACTTTTTTCCAAACTCGAAAAAATTTTTTTAACAGTTCACCGTTGGCTTTGGCCTCTCATTGTTTACAATTGGTAATTTTAAATTGAAAAAATTTTTAAAAATTTATTTAAAGGCGCCAAAAGACACTGCTTGTAAAACTTCTTTGGGTATGAAAGCCCTTTTTGATTTAATGGGTCCACAAGAATCTGGAGGAAAAGTGGTTGCGCTATTTGGGGATATTTGCACGTTTGTTTATATTTTTTAAATTTAATTTTAATTTATTTTTTTAGTGATGTTAATGAACCTGTGGCAATGGCAGCAAAGTAAACATTAAAAAAGATAAATGATTAATTTTGCGGACAAAAATTTTTGTCCGCAAAAATTTTGCGGACAAAATTTGCGGATTTTTCAAAAAATATTTTTTGTACATTTTTGAAATTAAAATTAAAAAAATTTTTTAAAGGAGTTGGAATATTGTACATCTTTCATTTACTGAAACACATGCAAAATTTGGAACGGCTGATTCTAAAGAGGTTTTATGGGTCGAAAATTAAAAAATAATTTTTGTAGCTTTATCCAAGTTTTTTTCGCATTGCGCCTGGAGATTTGAATTTTAATAGAGCTAGAAAGGAATTAATTAAAGGTATTTTTTAATTTAATATAGATAAAAGATGGGAATGGGACCAGACCTTTTCTTGGCTTTTTTCTCCCTTTTTTGTCTCTTTTTCCCTTTGGTTCCGATTAGTGACCGGTAAAATCGATTTTTCCGGAACCGGTTCCGGATTTGCATCTAGAGCCGGACCGGATTTCTCCGGATTAATCCGGTCCGGTTTTAATCTGGAAATTGCGAAAAAATCCGGATTTGGGACCCGGACTCCGGAAAAATACGGCAGGATCCGATCCGGCCCGGTCACTAGTTCCGATCCATGTTTTGTTCCTGTTCCTCTTTCTCCGGTCTCTTGTCCCAGGTTTTTTTTAAAATTCCCATCCTTAGCCATTAGAGACTCTTAGTATTTTTTAAATTTAAAGCTTTTGGTTGGCGCCGTGTTGGAAGCATTAAACAAAGCGACCATTCCTCTCTAGCCTTAGCACATGAACGTTTAACTACAAAACTTGAACTTGGAGGTGTGCAGGTTGTGTATACTGCAAGTTTGAGTGGGGAGAGTAATGACCAGGCAATTGAAGCAGAATTGGATGAATTGAAGGTTTGTTTATTTTTTGGGGTTTATTCTGTTTCTGATTTTTTTATTCTGTTTTTCAGTTCTGATTTTTGTTCTGATTTTTCTGTTCTGGTTTTCTGATTTTATAATTCTGGTTTCTTATTTTGATTTTCTTGTTCTGATTCTTTATTCTGATTTTTTTCTCTGATTTTTTTGTTCTGTTTTTCTGTTCTGATTTTTAATTCTGATTTTTTTGTTCTGTTTTTCTGTTCTGATTTTTGTTCTGATTTTTAATTCTGATTTTTTTGTTCTGTTTTTCTGTTCTGATTTTTGTTCTGATTTTTAATTCTGATTTTTTTGTTCTGTTTTTCTGTTCTGATTTTTAATTCTGATTTTTTTGTTCTGTTTTTCTGTTCTGATTTTTGTTCTGATTTTTAATTCTGCTTTTTTTATTCTGTTTTTCAGTTCTGATTTTTGTTCTGATTTTTCTGTTCTGGTTTTCTGATTTTATAATTCTGGTTTCTTATTTTGATTTTCTTGTTCTGATTCTTTATTCTGATTTTTTTCTCTGATTTTTTTGTTCTGTTTTTCTGTTCTGATTTTTAATTCTGATTTTTTTGTTCTGTTTTTCTGTTCTGATTTTTGTTCTGATTTTTAATTCTGATTTTTTTGTTCTGTTTTTCTGTTCTGATTTTTGTTCTGATTTTTAATTCTGATTTTTTTGTTCTGTTTTTCTGTTCTGATTTTTGTTCTGATTTTTAATTCTGATTTTTTTATTCTGTTTTTCTGTTCTGATTTTTGTTCTGATTTTTAATTCTGCTTTTTTTTGTTCTGTTTTTCTGTTCTGATTTTTGTTCTGATTTTTTGTTCTGATTTTTATTCTGATTTTTTATTCTTATTTGTCCAACCAGAATTCTGATTTTCTAAAACCAGAAAAATTTTTCAGCACAGAGATGTTCACATATTTATTGCCGATCTCAGCCGTTCTCTAGCTCTCCGTGTATTTTGTGTTGCCTTCCGTTTAGGCCTCTATGGAAATAATTTTGCTTGGATTCTCCCAGGATTTAAAATTTCTCCAGACGGGACAATAAATAATTTTTGGTGGCAAAATAATTATTTAAATATTCAAACAAATTGTTCTTTGGAAGAAATTGAAGAAGTTTTAACTGGACATTTTGCTTTAGATCAAGCACTTATACGGCCTTATGAGAAAGGAAAAGAAGAAATTTTGGCTAGTGGGAAGGTTTGTTTTTTATATTTTTTTTGGTTTTTTTTTATGATGCATGGGTGTGGGTTGGGCTCGAAATTTCTATTTTTGTCTGTCGATTTCTGAAATTTTTTTTCCATTTTTTTAAAAATTTTCCAGAATTCACAATTTCCGGCATCTTGGACACTTCTAGAGTTTCTCAAAAATTAAACACTTTCTCCCCTTTTCGAATTTTTTTTTAAATTTGTGTTTATGCATGTCAGAGACAGGGTTTTCCCCTTTTCGGTTCATGACGTTTTTTCTTTCCTATTTCTGAAAAACTTTTCCAAAAATTTCCAATTCTCGACATCTCTGGGATGATTTCTCGGGTTTTTAAAGAAATGGACATTTTGTCCCCTTTTTAAATTAAAAAATATTTTTTTAAAGACTCCAACCCAAATTCTCGAAGAATTCCACCAAAATTGTTTACAAGAATATGGTTCAAATACAGAATGTCAAACAGATTCATTAGCACATTCATCTTACGCTTATGATGGAATTTTGGCTTTAGGCTTGGCTTTAAATAAAAGTTTGATTTTAAAAAAAGGAGAGGAAGAAGAAGAATTTGAAATTGACAAAAAACTTTTTGTTTCAAAAATGAGAAAAACAGATTTTGAAGGTTTAAGTGGAAGAGTTCGCTTTGATGATAAAGGGGAAAGGCTTGGATTGGTACAAATACAACAATTAATTAATGGTTCGTATTCAATTATTGGATTTCTGGATAATGCTGAAGGACGATTTCAGTTAAACAAGGATATAGGTTTGAGTTTGTTTTTAATTTTGTGGGGCAAAATTAGAAAAAGAATAACTGAAAAAAATCGCTTTGCGTCTTACGTTACAAAATAACATTCAAAAGGAGGTAAAATGTGCGTAGATGCTGCTTCTCTGTCCGCAAGTTTTATCCGCAAAAATTGTAAAAATTATTGCGGATAAATTTTGCGGATTTCGTTTATGAGCATTTTATGCCTTCAAAAAATTTAAAAATTTGCGGACAAAAAACTTGCGGATAAGACATCAAAACTTGCGGACATAAAAACTTGCGGACAAAAAAATTGCGGATAAAAACTTGCGGACAAAATTTTTGGAAAAAACTTGCGAACATAAAGTCTTGCGGACATTTGTGTTCATAACCTAATTAATTTTTCTAAAGATTGGATTCCACCAGCCGATTCAACACTTTTATTGCGTAGAAGAGAATATGTTTCTGCACTTTTATTAATAATAATGTGTTCATTAGCTTTTGCTGGTATTTGTTTGGCTTTGATTTTTTTGATTGTTAATATTAAATTTAGAAATCACAGGTTTTTTATTTCTTAATATTTTTAGAATAATTTTTTTTAATTAAAGATTTATAAAAATGTCCAGTCCGGTATGTTTTTTTTAATAAATATTTTCTAAAGTTGAACCTCTCCATTGTCACACTAAAAAATGGGTCTTATAAAATGATGAAAAATCCTTTTCATTCAAAACCCTTTTTATTTTTTTTGGAGCTTTTTGGGAGGGAAATGAAATATGTAGGGGAGGGATTGAGTTATTGAGAGGATGGTCCTTCCGCATTAAAAATTGGAGGACGAACGTAGAAGATAGCCCTCTCTGATATGTATTTGGGGGGGTGTATTCCTGCTAATTTTTTTTATTTTCCTCCAAACTTTTCCTCATAGATTCTTCCTCAGATCCAGCACGTAATTTTATCAAAAATTCAATTTTTTGTGTATTTTTTCGTTTCACTTTTGGGGCTGGGTAAGAGAAGAGGTTCAACTTTTTTTTAAATTTAAAATATGATTTTACACAAAAAATATTTTCTTTTATTTTTTCATTGTCTTCCTACAGAACATGAACAATTTGGTTTGCTTTTTTTTTATTTAAAAAAATTATTTTATTTTCTTTTAAAAAGATTATTTGTGGTTCTTTATGTGCCTATTTAACTATTTTTCTTCTTTCTGTGGATACTAGAATGGTTTTTAAATTTTTTTTAAATTAAAATAAAATTTTTTTTAAAGGTCAGCATACGACGTTTTGAACAGTTTTGCTATGTTTGTTTTTATTTTTCTTTTAAAAAATTTTTTGGGTAGGTCAAAGGGAATAATGGGTTTTATTTCTGTCTAATATAAGTGGATTTTAGGCGTACACTTTTTTTGAAATTCCAAGCAGGGCTGTAACATGTGGGCGCCAAAAATTCGTCGTACAAAAATTTTCCCCCCTTCCCCCCTCCGAAAAAATCCTGGTTACGGCCCTGACTACAAGGATGTTTTTATGGACTATTTACAAGCACAGATCCTTTAAGGAGGCTAAAGACATTAAACTTTTATTTCCTTTGGGATTTTACCGACATTTTTGGACTTTTCTTGCGGATTTTTTTTCTGAAATTTTTGCGGATTTTTTTAACGTACAGTTTTTCTGCGGACTTTGCTTGCAGAAATTTTTCTGATTTTTTGCCGACCTTTTTTTGCGGACTTTACTTGCAGACTTTTTTTTATTCACCACACTAAAAATAATTTTCTAATAAATAATTCCCCTCTAAAAATTTATTTTTTTTCTTATTTAAAGGCAAAAGTTTGGATTCTTTGTTTTGGTTTTACCCTCGCTTTTGGTTCAATGTTTAGTAAAACATGGCGTGTTCATTCAATTTTTACTGTAAACTTTTTTTTTAAATTAAAGAAAATTTTTTTTAATTTTTTAAAGAATATTAGACGTGACAAAAAAGCAATAAAAGATTCCAAACTTTATTTAATTGTTGCTTGTTTGTTGGCGATGGATGGGGCAGTTTTGCTTTTATGGGCGTTGATTTCACCCTTTAGATTGTCTTTAGCTGAACGAGGACAGTTTGTTAGTTTGTTTGATTTTTTGGGTAACTTTCATGATATAAATTTCTGTTTGAGTTAGGTACGTAGTCAGGGGGAAGGGAACAACTTGTGATTCTTCCGTCCCCAATTTTGATTCAGGTGTCCTCCGTGGCTCTAATGGCTCCTTATTTTGTTTTTTCCCTCTAGGTTACATATTCACTTATAAGCTCCATGGTTCCTAAATATTGACAGTTCATCTGAGTCTTATCAAGACTTGTGTCCCTGTGGCTCCCTTAACGGAATGTGTTGTATTACAAAAAGCTTGAAATACCAAACCATCCCCTTGTAACCCTGATCCCGGAACCCAAACCAGTTCAGTTCTAGACTCAATCCCAGACTCTAATTCCCATTCCTATCTTCCCATCTATAAATTAATAACTTTCTCTTCTTTGGACTTCGCCTCCGCACTTCCGCCTAATTCCGCTTTATTATTGTTTACAATTACAACTATTCCTTCCTAACCTTTCCATTATTCGTTCACGTGAATTCCTATTATTTCCACTTATTCCCAATCACTTCCCATTATCCTTTTACATTAATTCCTATTATTTCCGTTCATTTTCCATCACTTTCCCAACTTATCATATTTACAATCTCCACTAATCCAACTTGTTAACTATTGCCATTCCCACTTCTCACTCCCCTTTTTCCCAACTTATAAGTTTGCCTTTAACTCCAATAAACAGCTTATCCTCAGTCCAGTCCAATCTCAGCTTTATTCGGTCCAATCCAATCTCTGTTCCTTCATTTCAATGCATTGTCCAGTACCCTATTATTCCACACATATTCTATTTCAATTACCAGTTCCATTTCCATACTCTATAAGTCTAATGAAGTCCTTTCAATTCTATTTCTCATTCAATCCATCCTAATCCAATATCAATGTTAACTCCATTATATCAATTATCAATAAATATGTAGAGTATTTGGTGAATTGGCTTAATAACGGGTAGGACCTCTGGAAGCCCACACTCGCACATCCACTAATTAATATCCACACACACATCCACTCAAATCCCGAATCCATATCCTCACATTCCTTAACCCAATAACTAACATACTAACTCCCTAATTGATATATAAACCCCATGGTTCTTAGGTAATTATTGCCTAGGTTATCTGAATCATATCTACATTCGTTCAGGTTCAGGCTATCCATCTCCCTCCTACTTCTGAGAGATTTTTTTTTAAATCTTAAGTAGTTTTAGAAATTTTTTTTTAATTTTTAAATACAGAGAGAAGAAAATATGTTAATTATCCCAGAATTGGAACATTGTGAATCTTCGCATTCTGTTGTCTTTCAATTAGTTTTTGCTATAACTAAAGGATTATTAATGGTTTTTTCTTTATTTTAAATTAAAAAAATTTTTTTAAAAGTTGTTTGGTTGTTTTTTGGCTTGGGAAACTAGAGCAGTTAATGTGCCTGCTTTAAATGATAGTAAATATATTGGGATTGCTGTATATGCTATTGTGGTATTTTTTTAAAAATTTTTAACAAATTAATGGTCATTCTAATAAAAAAAGAATTATTTAAAAAAATATTTTCCACTGGATTTATAAAAAGGTTTAGGAGGGTAGTATTTTTAAAAGAAACCATCGTGGAAAAGAAACTTGCGGGCGGGCGAAAAATTTGCAAGCAAAAAAACTTGCGGACATAAAACTCGCGACCGAAAATTTTGCGGAAAAAACATTTTAATTCTTAATATCTTCCATATTAAAATTTTTCTTATTTTTTAAAGGTTATGTGTGCAGTTGGCTTAGCTTTAGCACTTATTTTACAGGTTTATTTTTATTTTTCGTTTAATAATTTTTTAAATTAAAAAAAGGATCATTTAAACGAAGCATTTGGTTTAATTAGTATTTTTATAATTTTTGGGACAACTTTAACTCTTTGTTTGGTTTTTGTTCCAAAAATTGTCGAATTATGGAAAACACCAAAAAATGCTTGTGAACAACAAAAACATCAAAGGAAAGGAATGATGAAAAGTGTTGTTGGTGGAAAGAATAATTCTTTAATTAATTCGAAACGTTCTGCTGGTGGAACAACAACAAAAAGAAATTCTACAACAACACAAGAAGGTTTACATAGACAATTATCTTTGTAAGTTTAATATAAAATATTTTGAATTTTTTGCTGACCTAAACCATCCCTCTTGAACTGAAGACCGGACCGAGAGTTTTTTGCAGATTGTTTTTTGCGGATTCCTAAACTAAAAACAATCCGCAGATTTTGCTTTAATTCTCTCCCCATTATTAAAAAATCATTTTTTTAGAATTTCCCCTGAAGAAATGTTGAGGAGAAGTGGCCTTTTAGAAGTAGAAAATTTGAGGTTACATCAAACACTTGTTGAGGTAAAAATTTTTAAAAATAATTAATAGACGATTTCCTTTTTAAGAAATCTAACCAACTCAAAGAATTACTTGAAAAAGTAAAAGAACTTGCTGAACAACTTGGAGGTTTCTCTAAAATTTTTTGAAAAAATTTTTTGTCCGCAAAAATAATTGCGGATAATTTTTTTGTCCGCAAAGATTTTTGCGGACAAAAAATTTTTTTAAGAAAATTAAAAAAGGAATTTTTTCATTAGAAATTGAAGACGAAAAAATTTTGATAGAAGAAAAACAACAACAAAAAAATGTTAAAAAATCTCCTATTCATTTGGGTATTCCACAAGAGGAAGAAGAAAACAATGAAAATACAAAAAGAAGATTATCAGCAAGAACTTTAACTGCAGTAGTTCAACAATTTAGGTTGAGGAGAACAAAAACAAGTAGTTGTTTAGAATAGAGTGAAAAGGGAAATTTAAAGATTTTTCAGTTTTAAAAGATCTCAAATTTTCTGATCTCATTTTTTTTCAAATTTTTATTGCCATAAGAGGGTCTCTTTCCCCTTACAAATTATTTATATTTGACTCTAGTCTAGAGGGTATCCTTTCTGTGAAAATGGGGGAGCATCATTTCCGTGATATGTTAGGCAGAATTAGTTTTTTTAAACTGTCCTTACCCGGGCCCCTAATCTCGACTTTTTCGACCCAAACCCCAATCCGAAGAAAATTAAATCCAGACCGGCTCCTAATATGACGCATGCTCCTTGATGTCAAAAAAGCAATAATTTTATTAAAAAATATTTTTTTTGGAAAATATGTTAAAATTGTTTTACATATTTTGTGTAAAATTGAGAACACAACTTAAAAATTAACCTTCTTTTTTTAGCCACAAATATCTAACAAAGCAGTTACAGCAGCTTCTTTAACACCTCCTTTAGCTTCCAAAACTTGTTTAATTACTTCTCTTTCAATAGTTGGAAACATTTCTGCCAATTCATTTAATTCCTCTTCAGTGAACAGAGGAGCATCTTTAAAAAGAGAAAATTTTTTTGAGAAAAATTTTTAAAAAAACAAACTAATAATAGCTCTTTCCTCCCCTTGATTTTGTGGACGTGGAACTTGTGAGAAAGACACAACCAAATTTATAACTCCTTCTTTGCCTTCTCCCTTAAAAAGTATTTTTAAAAGGTAAAGTTAAAGGGCCCCGATTCAGATATGGTCAATGGCCATTAAAGAGGTTGTCAAGCTGATTGTGAGTCGAATGACAAATCAAAATCAACATGAGGTCTCAAATATAGCCTGAGATACCCAAAAATTGAAAAAAAACCGGAGGGGACCCAGCATGTTTTCGGGGTCAATAATTCGATTATATAACTCACTTGAGGTCCAGAAAGTTGATACCATTCATCAATTACTTCACGATTAAAAATTCCTTGAGGGAGAATTATATGTGCCCATGCAACTAATTCGTCGTTGGTGAAAGCACGCTTGAAGATAACCTGTTTTTTAATTTTCTAAATAAAAAACCTCATCAAATATTTGCAAATAAACTGATTCAACTCCTTCAGGTAAATAAGCGTTAACTGTTCGATTCCAATGTGGAGCCTTCCCTCCATTAACGCAAGTTGGTGTTTCAAATAAAGTATGTCCTATAAAATACGAATATAATCGGATTTGCTACAAGTTATAGGTACCTTTGGGGGGTTTAATACCTTATAGGGAGTGCCTTAAGGTGGGGGCCTTATAATGGAGGGTAAATTAAATTTAGAAGTGTCTTATAATGAGGGGGTCTTAAATTGGGGATTACCTTATAATGAGGAGTACTTTAAATTGGAGGTATCGCTTATCAGTTCGTTGGGGAAGGGAATGGACAATGGGAGTGTTAAAAGATACCCTCTATTTAAAATACACCCCAATATAGGATCTAATTTCTGCTTCCCAGAGTTGTGTCTTATAGAGATTTGACTATCAATTAAAATCTAGAAAAGTATACCAATTCTCAATCGAATATACGGATCCATTCGAACACCTGGAAGTCCATAATTTTTGGTCAATTTTGCTTCCACAATTTTAATAGAAAGTCGGCCACGAGTATGTGGAGGAACAAAAGAGTAAAAATTCTCCTTAAAAATCAATAATTTTTAGTTGAAAAATTTTTTCTTTAAAAAACCGCAGGTCCAAAAGTTTGGTAGGGTACTTGTTGGGGAATTGAAGGTATATTTTGTTGTTGTTCTTGAACGTTTTGAGGAATGGTAGGATCTACTTCTGGCTTGGAAACGCGTAAAAAGTCATCAGGAAGTTGGCCAATCAAAACCTTTAGGTTTAAAAATATATTTTCTAAGAATTAAGAAAAATAAAAAATAACCCGACTACGAAGTTCTGACAAATTCAAAGAATTTTTTGATGGTAGAGGTCCAGCTTGTGCCATTAATAATCAATCTACAAAATAAAATTTAATTTATAAGCTTAAGTTTCTTAAAAATTGAAAAACGGGGCTGCGAACGCTTGACCATTTAAAAGTTACCATTTTGACATTTTCCAATCCAACATTTTCCTTTTCTACCTCCCATCTAATTTTTCCACTTTCTCTTCGATTTTTTCGGAATTTTCGGCTAGGTAATCTTCATTTTTTGGGCTGACTATTCTCGGAAAGATCGTTGTAAGCTCTTAATATTTTTGAGTCAATTTTTGACGAATTATCCTATTTTTACCAAGAAAATTGACAAAAATTGATTTTTGATTGATATTTCGTCGTTTGTCCCTTAATCGATTCTTGCTATTCTAATTTTCTCTACTGACTTGGTTTTTTTTTATATTTTTAGCCAATCAGCTCGAATCTTACTTCTAATTTCCTTTTTTCATAATTATAAGCATGGCCTGTTTACAAAAACTTCGAGAAGATATTGCCTTGCTTGAACGATTGTTTCCTAAAACACACGAACGCTTTCAGGTTTGATTTTTTTTTAGAAAACGTTCGTATGCTTTTTTAGATTGTTTCCGCTTCAATTGACGAACTCGAGGTTAAATTTGTTGGGACAGATGGGAAGTCTATTCAGATTTGTGCAAACATTCAGGTTTCGATTTTTCATTTTGGTCGAGGATATTGGCAAGATTCTTTGCCTTAAGTCACGGACACATTAGGGAACACTGAAAAATACTTTGATGTTGACTGGATCCAGGACAATTCAGATCCAGATCCTGGCCGATCTCTCATTAGCTCTGCTCTCAACTTGTATTCTTTTAGGAAAACTACCCACGAGAGCCTCCAATTTGGTTCAGCGAATCTGACGATGCTATAGTCACTGCTTTACTTGAACAACTCACTCAAAGTCAGGATGGCACAGGTATTCTGGCACAATTGCATATGCTGGTTCTCAGGCTTTGTACTGCCCACAATCTGACTGCGCCGACAGAACTTGAAGCGATTGCTCCGGTTTTTTAAATTTTTATTTTTTGTTTATTTTTATTTAAAGAGTCCACTGGATGACCGCGACGAAGGAAATGGGAGCGAATTGGAAAGCACCGTGGATGATGACGAAGAGGATGATTTGATGTGCGAAATGGAAGACGTTTCTGCTGCACGAGTTGAGCATTCTGAAGATGGATTGGTATGTTAATTTAAGAATTGTTGGCATTTGTCGACTATCTTCCCTTTCGCTCTTTTCCTTTTCTTCTTACCTTTTTTACGTATAAATAATGGCTCATACAAGATAAAGTTATTCTAAGAGGCTCTTGATGTAAAATTTTGAGTTTGACCCAAATGGGTTGGTCTGACTCTGGTCGATATCGCTGGCCTTTATAAATCCTCTTACTAACTCGAAATTTTTTTGTAAATGGATTTTATATTTTTTATACTTCAGGTTCCACCGGAAGGTTTAGCTGTTATTACTCGTGTTTCTCAAGTACAACGTCAGCAGCACCTTAAAGGTTGTTTTTTAATTTTAGGTTTATTTATTTTCAAATTTTATAGGCGCTCCAGCTGGTTCTGTAACAGCGTCAGATCGTCTTATGAAAGAGCTTAAACAGATATATAGCAGTGATAATTATAAAAACGGTATCAAAACGTTTACTTTTTTTGGTATTATTAGGTTTGGATATCCAAGGTTATTAACCGATACCTCCTGTCTTCGGTTTTCGATGGGTTTCAGTCCCTGGTTTTCAGTTCCGGTTCGGTTAACTGTTTGTGTCCAATCCTATTTTCTAAAATTAATTTTAGGCGTTTTCTCAATCGAATTGGAAAAGGATAATTTGTATGAGTGGAATGTCAAATTGAAGAAAGTTGATGAAGATAGCAATCTTGCATCAGATTTGAGACAATTGGCTAAACCTCCACATAACAAGGATGGACTGCTTTTTCAATTTATTTTTGGGACTTCATTTCCGTTAGTTTTTTTTTGAAGAAAATTTTTTTCTATTTTTTTCTAAAGGTTTGAGCCTCCATTTGTTCGTCTTGTTTCTCCTGTTGTTACAAACGGTTTTTTTTAATTTTTTAAAGAATTTTTTACTTAAATTTTTAAAGGGTTTGTTTTGAGTGGTGGTGCTCTTTGTATGGAACTTTTAACCAAACAAGGATGGACAGCTTCTTATAGCGTTGAATCATTAATTACTCAAATCTCTGCTACTTTGGTTAAAGGAAATGCTCGTATTGCATTTGAACCAAAAAATGGGAATACTTATAGTTTGGTTAAAGCTCAGCAATCTTTCAAGTCTCTTGTACATATTCATGCTAAATCAGGTTTGTTTCTTTTTTTATTTTTTTGGGGGCGAGGACAACTGGTATCGTGAATATACTCGTCAGGAATGTCACGGGTTTTCTAAAAAGCGGACTTTTTTGACACGATCTGAGAAATTTTGGAAAACCAGCTAGACCTTTCTATTTCTCTGACTCGTACCTTTATTCCTCTCTCATCTTCTTCCCTCTTCTTTTTTAGTTTCAAACAGGGTTGTACCCCGTCCACTTTTTTTAAAAATTCCCCCCCCCCCCCTTGGCGCTGCCTCCACGAAAATTTTCCCCGTTGCCCCCATTGAGGAACAATCCTAGTTTCCACCATTTCTCCTATCTATCCCTCCTCCTATCGCATCCCACCAAACCTTTATGATCCTTGAAGTCGTAAAATCAGTCCCGCTTTCGCCATTTGATCCACTTTTATTATAGACTCTTGAGTTTCCGCTAACCTCAATTACCCTTTTTATAAAAATAAAAAAATTTTGTTGACATTTTTTTAATATAAGGTTGGTATACACCACCAAAAAATGAAGGCTGAACGGATTAATATATAAGTAAGCAAAAATTGAAATTTTTTGATTGGAAGTAAGTTTAAAATATTTCTTGATAAAAAATTTAAAAAAATTGAAAAATGTAAGAAAAAATTTTTTGAGACTTCCATTTATCGATTATAATATCTCTTCTCTCTCGTGAATATATTTAAAAACATATACATATATTAGTCTATCATTTTTTTGCTGATTTACACTCTTATTCTCTACTATTTTAAATATTATGTAAATGATGGTTAGCAAATATATTTTTTGGGAAAATTTTTTTTGAAAATTCCTAGGACTTCAGAAGTTCGAGTTTAAAAATTCTATAGTTCTTTTTCAAAAATTTATTTGCTTTTCATTAAAAAAATTATTTTTTTTTGGAATATTTTACTTGCTTCTTTCCACTCATACATTCTTTTTTTTTCGTTTTTTGGATATGGACCTTATAATGTGTAATTATAATTTCTTCATTAAAAAATTTTTTTGTCGAGTGTAAATATAAAAAATTTATTTAATTTAAAAAATTTTAAAAATTGAATTTGAAATTTTTTTAAATTTCTAAAAGGGTAAAATTGGGTTAGTTTATAGGAGAGATTTAAATATAAGCAAGTTTTTGTTTAAAGTTTTAATTAGTTTAATACTCAAACTTACAACTTTTTTGTTGTAAGCAGCTTGGTGTAATGGTTAGCGAGTTTGCTTTGGATACTATTAACTAGCTAGGTTCGATACCACCTAAGGTTCTAGTGCATTGAAGTCTTTTTTAAATTTAAGGGACAAGCCGGCTTTGTGTTTTTTTAACTTTGCTTAAATCTAAAATTTTTTAGAAGCCTTTCAAATTAATTTTAAAATTTTTTAAGAGCTTCTAAATTCCCCCATTTGTCAAAGACCATAAACTTTTGAGGTAAAAAGTTATGTGGTAAAAGCCCATTTATTGTTTATTTGTCCACATTGAAAAAGGGGGGAAAATATTTAATGTGTGGACAACAGTTAAAGCGCAAAAAAGAGGAAACAGAAAGTAGAGTAGTTTTTGTGGTGGCTGGCAGTGTCACTCACACAAAAAGCTTTTTAAAAAAGGGAAAACCGATTTTTAAGGCCTAGGAGGAAGAAGAAGTGTGGACAATATATGTATAAGTTTAATAATTTATTTTTAGCTTTGAAGAATGGTTAATTAAATGATGGGGAAATATAAAAGATTTTGAAATAAATTGGAAAAGGCTGACCAGTTAAACATAAAGGAGGCTTTCTCTTTTGACCCTGCAAAAATCTTAACAGGTGGTTTGCTCTATCTCTTTTTTCTCGTTGTTTGTTGAACTTCTTTCAATCCTTCACAATCCAACCCTAGAAATACTGACCAAATCCAATAAAAAACTTTTAAAATCTGATCCTATGAAGGATTAAAACAGAATTACTCTTCACTAGGGTTGTCGGTTTCACCAAATTCTTAGGTTAACCGAACAGACAAACTGAACCGGAGAATTTCGGTTAACCGAAGCTGAACCGAAGATCTTAGAGTTTTTGATTCGGTTTGAAATCGACAACCCTACTTTTCACATACTATCTATATGCTCCTTATCCCCCTTTCTCCTTGTTATTTTTGTTCCATTCACATTCCAACAACTTAATTTATCTTTAAATCAGACCCTTCTTTTCAATCTCTTAGTTGTTATCTCTTTAAAGGTATTTATTTCCTTTAAATAAATATTTTCTGGGCAGACTTGCATATTTATTTTTCTGTCAGCTTTTTAGCATTATTCATTTGTTGAATCAACTAGTTTTGTGATTGATTAGATTGGAATAAAACGATTTAAATGTGAAGAAAAATAACGGCCTTAACCTAATTTTCAACCCTTCGTGTCCACCCATTTCTTTCCAATTTTTCTCTCCAAACGGGACAATAACAACAACAAACACACAATCCTTTTTATTTTTTTTCTTGCCATCTGCCTATTTTTTATTTATTTGCGCGTTCCGTTCCTTCGCCACATTTTATTTTTACACAAATCAAACAAAAAAAAAACAGCCGCCACATTTTAATGAAAATTTTTCTGTTTTAGTCTTAAAATGTGCCTTCTTATCTTAGGGAAGGAAAAAATTTTTGAAGTAAAAAAGCTTTTAAGCTTTGAAGAGTTAATTTATTTAATTGTGAGAAATTGTTGTGAGATTAATTCCGCTGGATTCCGTTTTGGAAAAAAAATTTTGGAAAAAATTCTGTATGAAGCTACAAACCAGTGATGGACCGGGTTACCCAAAACCTAGAGCCGAACCCCGGACCGGGGGTGAGCGCATTGCGTTTTTTGTGTTGATTTTTGGCCTTGCGTTTTGCGTTTTTCGCAATTGCCTTTTGCGATCACCCCTGCCCCGGACTGCTTCGACTCTAAATCCGAAACCTGATCCAAAGAAAACTACAACCCAACCTAACTTTTTTCTTAATTTTTTTCAACATCCAACTTTTTATAACACATCTTTCTGATTGGGGATAACAAAGAATGGGAGTTTGCCGATCACTACCCTTCTAAATACATATAGCAATTAACCAGTTTCTGGTCTATTTAAATATTTTTAAGGATCGAATTTCTTTTTTGGATGAATTTTTTTGAATTTTAAAAACTATTTTTGGATTTTTTGAAAAAAAAAGATATTAAAAATTTTTTTTACAATTTTTATGACGCACTGACCTTCACCCCTCTCTCTACCCCTTCAAAACTAAAATTATTATTACCCACAAAAACCCCCCATCTGTCCTTTCATTTCATTTTTCTTTCCTTAATCTAACCCTCCTTTCTCTCTCAAAATTTTTATTTATTTATTCATGACCGCCAATCTCTTCCATCCTCTTCTCTCATTTATTTCCTCTCTATCCAATTCCTCCTCATCGTACCACCCATTTCCTCCTCCCCTTTTTTTCCTCGATGCGGTTGAAAATAGGGCAAAATGCTGCTTAAATATTGTAAAAATAAAAAAATTTTTGTTGTGTCTGTCTGTACAAAGGAACATTAAAAAATAAATATTTAAAAGGGCAAAAAAGACAGTCATTGTTGGTGACCATAAAAATATTTATAGCTGTATTTTAAGGCTTTTTTTGCTTTATATACCTATTTAAATATTTTTTCATTTCCTATTTTTATTTTTAAGCATTCAGTACTTAAAAATTCGAGTTTTAGTTAAAATTTAAAAATTTAAATTTTCCAGACTCTAGTGTCCAAATCTGAATTTTTTTTTCTTAATTTCCTTGAATAATTTTGTTTGAATTTTCAATTCCCCCTTTGATTGACCGCAAAAATTAACCGCCAAAAAAAGCTAAAACTTAAAAATATAAAAAGCATAGGAAAAAAATTCATTGGGTACCGATTGCGACGCGTTGAATACAAATAAACCTAAAAATATGCAAGGTCACCACAAAGAATATTTTTTTCTAAAAATTGTGTTAAAATAAAAATACAAAATTGAATCGATAAAATTAAGATGTGTATTAGCAGGGATCCTGTAGAAATAAAAAAATAAATTCTCGATTTTCAGGAATCGGGAATTCCCGAGTTTTTTAAATTCCCGATCTCGGGAACTCGAGATCCCGACCCAAAAAAACTTCGGGAATTCTCAATATTCGGAAATCTCGGGAATAGGGACGACAGGATTCCTAATCTAGGATTGTCTAAATTTAATTTTTCCTAAAAATTACAGCTAGACTCTAATGTACTCTTTAATTTTAAATGTAATTTTTTGAAGATTTTTGCACTTAAAAATTTTAGAAATTTTTTTTTGAATTTTTTCTCCCTCTTAAACTTTCTTTTTTTTTTGTTTGCAAATTTGAGAAGGCTATTTAAAAAATATATATTTCTGCAAGATTGTAAAAAGATTGGCAGCTGAAAATCTTGAAATGCGAGAGCGCCATCTTTTCCCGCTTTTAAGAGAATGACAGTCACTGCCAGGCGCGACACAAGAGGAAGAAAATAATTTTTTAGTTAGTTTGTTGAGGTTGCCCCCGCCTCTATACTCTCTCTCTCCTCTCTACTTTTTCCTTCCTTTTCTCGTCATTCTCGACTTTATTTATTTTTACATTTACTATATTTTTGAATGTTCCCTTTTCCTTCATTTTTTCGGCCACTCATATTTGACCAATACCACATTTTGCCAATAAGGCTAAAAACTTACATTTTGTCAACAAGTTTGTTGACAAAATGCGAGATTTTAGCCTTATTGGCGAAATGTCGTTTTGGCAAAATATGGTGTCCGTTCCATTTTTCTCCTATATTTTTCCTCTTGTTTTTCCTCCTCTTTAAATATTTTTCCCAGGTTATTTTGTTGATTGTTGTTATTTTCTGATCTTTGCACCACCTCCCCCTTATAGAAAGCAAAAGCAAAAAATATTACTTGTGGTTATTGTTAGTCTATGGCCGTTATATTAAGGATTAGCCGAGACAAGTGGCTACTCCTTTTTTATTGTCTATATATAAAAGATTATTTTAGCAACATTTCTATTTTTTAATGTCAATTTTTTGCAAGTTTTTTGCTTGCAAAAATTTCTA